AAAAAAAAAAAAAACTGTTATGAAACCTGTGTTTTCTCTTTTACTATAATTAAAGATACAACAAAAATGCCCCCCACTTTTAAATTAGGGATTGAATCTAGGGGCACTTTACCACTGAGCTACAATCTCAGTCCTTTTTACTTTTTATTTTTTTATTTTAAGATGGGGTCTCACTCAGTTGCTGAGGGTCTCTCTCTATTGCTGAGGCTGACCTCAAACCTGCTATTTTTCTGCCTCAGCCTCCTGAGTCACTGGGTTTATAGGAGTGTGCCACTGCACCCAGCAAAAATATATTTTTATATTGTAATTTTATACTTAGAATATAAAAATATATTTTTATATTTGTAAATTTTCATTGAAATCTTTTTTTGCAAATAATGCTTTTGTATACCTGTTTAAAGAAGTGACCCACATTACATTTCTTAATATTTTTTCCTACCACTTGGCCTAATCTTATCCCTATTAATGGCCTTTAGTTTTAAGTATGATGAAACTTTAGTTTTCATATAGATCTATAATTAGGTATTTCATTCTTTATTGACGACAAAATCATCAAATTGGTTTGCTAACATATTTTAATGCAGTTCAGTCAGAAAACTTTCAATTCTTTGAACAGCTAAAATTTAAACTTACTAATATTAAATTTACTCTTAAGTATTTAATGTTAGTTTCTATAAAAGCAAACCTTTCAGAGCAATAGCAGAAAATAAGCGAGGAAAAGGTCTAGGCTGGAGTGAAGCTTCTGCAACATTTTGTTATGTTAGTCATTACCTTAATATGTATACACACACACACACACATACATGATGCTGCTGGGGATTGAACCCAGGACCTTGTGCATGTGAGGCAAGTACTCTGCCAACTGAACTATATCCCGAGCCTTAATATGTTGTATTTTGATAAACCACCTTAAGGGTAAAATAGAACAGGACAGAATATTATACAAAGGGTTCCATGGAAATAACTTTTGAGATGCTGAGATAAACAGTGAACAAATTTCTTGTCTGTAGAATTCCTCAGAGTCTTTTAAATATGTCAGTGGATACTGTGAAACTCCCAAAGAGAAGATAATCTGTAGCTTTTCCCAAATACTACTTGTCTGGTATATCAACAGTAGGGACCTGTGTTCCATAGAATGCATTTTGGGAAACCTTGAAAAGGAAAATTAGTACTTTCACTAAAAACTATTGATTTTATTTATGTTACAGGTGTTTAGATTTTTTTGAAGGCTGATGTTATTAAAGTCTCGGTGTCGTATGGTATTTATATCATCAAGCTTTGTGTTTGATTTTGCCTTTATTCCTAAAAATATTTTACCTTTGGAGATAAACACTTATACATGTTTTAATTTAAAAGATAAAATTTGAGAAGATACAGAATTCAGCCCAAAGTAGGTGTCCAGGTCCTCAGGAGAGCTTCCATAGGAATACATACTTAAAAAAGAAACTAAAGAAAAACTATTTTTGTATTTTCTCTTATAAATGCTATGGAAAAGAACATTGCATTGTAAGCTATGAGATAACTAAACCTTTCAAGCCAAAGATCATAGACCAGGACCCACAGGGTAGATCTGGCACTTTGTTTCACTTATACAGTGATTTTAACCATTGAATTAGTTCCCAACATTTTAGAATCTTGATGTTTCACATAAAAATATGATTTTATAGCCACTCTTTAAGAAAAAGAACAACATTCTCATAAAAAGTAGCTACTTGCTGGAGCTCAGAAGTGCCTGGTTCCTTCAGGAGTGGTTTCCTCCAGTGTATCACTGCCTGCCTGCTAAAAGTGTCCTGGTGTCATGGTGCATTTATTCTACAGACTTTGAGCTTGTGTTGTAAGGACATAGCATGGCCAAAGGGTATGTGCCTCCCAAATGATATAGCAGCACCTCTTCCTAAAATCACCTTTATAAACAAATGTGATTGGGTTGCTCCAAGAAGGATTGTTGGAATTCTGTTAGCTTCATTTAGGGGACTCTTCACTATTTCTGCATGATATCACTACACTTGTCCCCAGAATGCTGAGTCTTTACTGTGTAGAGTAGGGCCTCTTTGACAACACACTGGATGAGTCACTTCAAATATATACACATACAGAGCTGTCCATATGTATATAAAAGTTGTATGGCTGGGGGAAATTTATATTGAATTAGGACAAAGTTCTAACTTCATTCATTCTCAAAAATGATTATTGAAGAAAAAATATAATTGAAAAGCAGTTCTTTTATTTATACTTAGCCTTTTCATAGAGTATTTGTATCAGCTTATGAAGTATATGATATTATAATACAGAAATAGACATAAAAATCAGGATCATTCTGGGAATGTAGGTCAGCAGTAGAGCTCTTGTCTGGCCTGTCCAAGGCCTTGGGTTCAATTCCCAGAATCAGCAAAAATAAAATAAAAATCAGGATCAGAAAGTATATCCACAGAGTAAGTCCAGATGAGACATTTGTATCTGGCCCTGAGGTCTAAAGCTAAACCTAAGAAGATGGAGAAATATGCCTTATGAAAAAAAATTTCTTTTTCAGAGAGAGACCCCAATGTAAGTGGAACTTCTTAAGTCTTAAGTACTTTTTAAGTACCACCTTGTTACTTTTGCATAGTGCATGTATAGAGGGTGCTCATGTTGGCCTGTGCTGACATTTTTCTAGTTTTATAGAAGTGCCAGCTTTTGAGCAACAGTTTTCTGGTAGCAGCTGGGAAATACAAGTTTTGTGCCTATGGTTAATAAGCACTGTGTCCTGAGCCCTCTTGCTGTATTGTTATCTAATCTGTAATACCAAGAATATGGTAGAGGAAAAGTTTGTGTGTGATGTGATGAAGTGAGGGTGGAGGGAGGGAGTGTGGGGGGAGAAAAGGCAGTGATGGAGCTCTCAGCAGGAAGGTGTGAGATCTTCTGCAGGGTTCCTTTGAACAGTGGTAACCTACTGCTATTACAAAAGAGTTTGGTTTGATTAATGAAAACAGATCACTATGGATACCCCACAGCAACTTTTTGTTTGTTTGTTTGTTTTTGCTGTGGGGTGGGATGTAATGGGGACTGAACTCAGAGATGCTCAACCATTGAGTCATATCCCCAGCCCTATTTTTTATTTTGAGACAGGGTCTCACTGAATTGCTTTGCAGCCTTGCTTTTGCTGAGGCTGGCTTTGAACTCACCATCCTCCTGTCTTAGCCTCCTCAGCTTCTGGGATTAGGGCGTGCATCACCATGCCTGGCTGTTTTCATTTTCCAAACAAAGTGATCCATGACCAGCTGAGCACAGTGGTGTGTTCTTACAGTCCCAGCTACTTGGGAGGCTAAGGCAGTAGGATCACTTGAGTCCACAAGTTCAAAATCAGCCTGGGCAACTTATCAAGACTTTGTCTCAAAAAAAGGCAAGGGGGGCGGGGGAGGTAGTCCATGACAAATCTCAATTAGCATAAGGTCATTGGAATCACCTAACTGGGTCCAGAAGTTGCTTAACTGCTTTATTAAGAAAAAGACTAGAAGAGAGGATTCTTTGTAGAAAAAGATAACACTCTTTTCCTTTAATCTGTGATATTGGAATTATTTTTGTAGTAGCAGGAAATTATCATGTTTTAAATCAAAAATTAGTAATGGGTCCTTATGAAGACATTTAAAAGTGATGCTTTATAATGCTGGTGAATCTGCCTTTGTGGTAAATATCAAGGGAATGATGATTTAGCCAAACACCAAATTTTACAAGGAAAGAGCTGGATTTTTTTTCTTTTCATTTCATGCAATAAAGATGGAACAAATGTTTCAATGTTAAGAAAATTGCAGACAAGTCCAGGTTTTCAGTCTAAGGAAGAAATTAAGCTTTTGTGGCTTCTGACTGACTGGTAAGGGCAAAAATGTCATAAAAAGCAAAATATTGGGTGAGGGTGAATTGACTAGCTTCTTAAGGGATGTATAGACTGTTTCTAAAGAGCAATGCCAGTTTTAGAGTGAATACAAGGCATTTTGAAAGTGCAATTGGCAAGCTGAGCACAGTGGTGCACACCTGTTATCCCAGCTAGATTGGATCACAAATTTGAGGCAACTTAGTGAGACCCTATCTCAAAATAAAAATAGCTGGGTGTGTATCTCATTGGTAGAACTCTTGCCTAGGGTGTGCAAGGTCCTGGGTTCATTCCCCAGAACAGACAAAAAAAAAAAAAGAAAGAAAGAAAAAGAAAAAAGAAAGAAAAGAACTGTGTAAATCTTGTTTAGCAAAATCAAGTAAATTAATCAAAATTGGATGACACTCTACATGCTTCATGTTTGATATCTCTGATAATTCCTTGCTAACTTGATGAGTGTTAATCTAAGTTAAATCATGTTGCTCAAAGATAAGTACTTTAAATTTGGGAGGTTGATAAGAATTAAAAAGCCAGACATAGAGATAATACTTAGAAAATATTTCTAATACTCCTGTTCCCTTCCTTTTAAATGGGCTTTAAAAAGCTAAATGGTGTACTGTGACAGGTTGTAAAGAAACTATGATATGTTAAAATGAATCTGGTTCAAAACCCAAAACCTGCCAAAAGGCTGCCTTTAAAAACCCAAAAAAAAAAAAAAAAAAAAAAGTCACCCATGGTTTTCTGAAGGTTTCCTGGTATGTGTCTGGAATGTTGAATAACTTCCCCAAGCGTTCTACATAAAGTCACTTCCTGCAAATTACCTTAACTAATTAACTGGATTTTGTTTGGGTCCTGTATGTTGTAAAATAAACAGATACGGGTTTGTCTTTAGTCATCTTATTTTCATTTGGGGTTGATGGAAATGAAGTAAGGACCAAGTAAACGACTTTTTTTCAGGTGCAAATTCGACCATGGAACCTAAGTGACAGTGACTTTGTAATGGATGGTTCTCAGCCTTTGGACCCCAGAAAAACTATCTTTGTTGGGGGAGTTCCACGACCCCTTCGAGCTGGTGAGTGGAAATAGTAACACCACAACAACAAAACCAACAACAAAATCCCCAATGTATTTCATCCTAACAATGTTCTAGGTTTCCAGTCAGCTCCACACAATCTCCAAGAGAAGGCTGTCATGTTGTTTTTTCACTGAGCTGATTTTTTCACAATTATTTTCTCCCCAAATTCTTTATTTTTTTTTTTATGGTGCAGGGGTGAATTTCATTAAACCATCATGTTTCCTATTTAACTATGTTTAAAATATATATGTATAAAAATACATATATATGTATGTATTTGCAGGGTAGCATTCTTATGACAGTTTGCATTGCTATGTGTGACAGAAAAAGAAGTCACCCATCAGAAATCTGTCCAGTGTGTCTGTGTGCCTACTCAGTGATGAGCCAGACCACTGCTGGAAATAATATTCCTGAGAATCAAACTGAATTCTTCCCAAGTGAGATAGATTCCTATTTTTGCTCATGGACTACAAGAAATGAATTATGGACTTTGGCATTTTTGTTATAACTTTATAAAAGCCTCCCTATTTTTTTTAATTGTTTCTAATGATGTGATAAACTATGCTGCTGAGATTGAGCAGAATCATAATTGCCTAAGAGCTTGAAGTGATGTGAACTGAAGACTTTAATATTTATTAAATCCAAAGACAAATCTAAGTAGCTGTGCATCAGCCTCCTGATAATCAATATTATTGCCAGTGGGATATAATAAATTTATTTCTAAGACTAAGTTTTTAGAGCACTTAGAATAAATGAATTTAAAAAAAAAAAACAAGCCAAAAATACAAGGTTCCATTGCCCCTACAGTTGCAGAAATACATTATCTCTATGTTATTTGTAAGTAAGTAGACTTAGTTCTACCTAAAATATAAAACAAAAAGCAAATCATTAAAATTAAGTCATGAAAACAGAAATGTAAAAGATAACCTATAGTATTTGGTTCTATGACTTTGATGACTAATTTTGAAAGTTTCTAAACATTTGCAACATAATTATTCAAATTTCAATTCCAGTTCACACCTAAAAGATAACTTTAGACCTATGTAAAGATATATTCATAATTCCATTTTGAAGGACTTTAAAGTTATAATTATGACTCTAGAGTTTATGATTTTACATTATTTCAGAAAGTCAAATAATTGTTGAGTCTTACTTCATTCTAATGGAAAACTGTGCCAAAACAAAGAAAGCAAAGCAGCAAAGATGGCCCCTCTTTATCTGCTATAAAGAATAATGTCTAGGAAGAACAAGCTCACTTGGGAACTGCAGTCCTTAGTTTCTAACTTAAATGTGCACTTTAAAAAAAAAATTATGAATGGTCGTGTTGTGGAATATTCCTGACTTTTTCTAATGGATGTTATATTTAGAAATGGAGACGAATAAAATTTTTTTTGGTATTCTTTTAAATGCATATGTATTCTACAAATGGACTTTCATTGCTAATATTCTTGGTATTCCTTTTTGCAACTACAGGTATAAATTTAATATTCTAGTCCCTCTCCTTCTTTCTTAGATGGGAATCTGACAAAAATATTCTAAAAGAAAAAGACCTACAATTACAAGTTAACAAAACAGAATTTAACTCCTACATCTATGTTTAAGTCACAGAAACTCCAGTTTATAAACTAAATTCCCTTTTATATTACTCATCCGTTATTCGGTCTGTTTGAATGATTTGGAAGGGTAGATATATCATTTTTTCTCCATAAATCCTATGAAGATGCATTTTCACATTTGCTCTATATCATTTTTCCTCCATAAATCCTATGAAGATGCATTTTTCACATTTGCTGTACTATCTCTCTGTCACCAAGACACAAAATTATATTCTTTAACATTTAGTGTCTGCAAGATGCTACAAGTTCTAGGACTAGACAAGAAATATATTTAGTTACCTAGTCAGACAGGGGATTTGTGGGTTTTGCCTAGAGAAAAGTATACCTTAAATTCTATAAGTCTTGAGGTTCTCTTTTTTTTAAAACTAGAATTTTTTTTTGCCATAAAATTATTTTGTTTTGGTAGTTATTTGGGTATAATCTAAAAATCACTTAATCTAGTGGAAATGTTCCCCCCTTGCCAAAAAATCCCATAAATGCAGCAAGTTTCCAAGTGGCTAGATCATCTATATTAGTGTCCTATATTTTACTCTGTCTCCCAGAATTTCCAGATTAGAAGCCATGTGATCTAAACAAAAGAGTTATTATCTGTAGCTTTTATTCATGTGCATAGTTATGTTTCTTTGCAACACACTGAGTTTTGTGGACTCTTGGAATAGAAGACTATTTTTAAAGGAATTCAATTTGACTTTGCTATAAAATCTTAAATCAGTTACAATGTAGTTGACTTGAACAATAAACATTTATTAAACATCCACTGACAAACAAGCAAGTTGCATGTCATACCAAACTGAGTGAACATTCCATCATCATGTTAAACAGGTCATCATACTTACAAAGTCAAAGATTTCAGAACAGAATAAACAATAAATGCATCAATAGAATGCTAATTTAGGATTAATGGGAGGCTGATTTATATTCTTTTGACATAATGATTCTTAGATCTTGTTTGAAGTACTTCAGTACACTTTTTATTACTTCCAAGAGGTATTGTAGTAATAAAATTCTAAAGTCTTAAAACTATTTTAGTCACTAAATCAATGAAACAGATGAGATTTTTTAGATGTTAACATGGATTTTCACTTTATCCTGGCCCCAAAATTGTCCTTTACCAAGTCAGAGTGACTCAAAATGTTATTACTCCAGAGTTATTCCTTTGGATTACGTGAGGATTTTTGTTAGTTTGTTTTTGTTTTTAATCTTTGAAATTTCCCCACTGTAAGTCCAGGAACCTTCATCACTAATAGTTATTCTAAATACAGCCTTTATCCCTCCAAACAGAAACTGTAAACAGAAATACAGGAATAAGGCAACCTGTTTCAAGCAGTATTGTCCTGACCGAGTTTAGGTTATATCTTCTGGTCCTTTCACCAGCCCTCCTTTTTAAAATTAAGGTTTTGGGAAAAAAGCACAGGTCTAGAAAAATTAACCAGAAAATGGGAAAATATCAAAGGAAAATCTAGATTTAGATGAGTTTTCTTATCACCTTTGATGAATTTCTCTAGGTCATATAATATATGTTCTTATCATCTCATCTGTCAGGGACTGTAGCAAGCCAAAGATGAAGTATAGTGTTCCTTAGATCTTTATTTCTCTGTATGTGTGCCCTACCTCATCTCATCTCCCTGCTGGGAAAGGCTGTACGTAGACCCACCATGCCACCTTGTGGTTAAAATTTTTACATTCTTTGGAGAGTTGGTACAGGGAAATGGTGCTCTACCTGCTGCCACCTGGAAGTAGTGTACATTGCCACTCTCTATTCAAGTAATATGAGCAATGTGTCTTCCTGAATGTCCATGAGAAATAGCCCTGTTGCATATCCACATGGCATTAAGACCTCTCTAAAGGCACACCTCAGCTGGGGGTCATGAGGAGACCATCAGGATAAGGGGAGAATCAAATATCTAGTCCCCACATACTCCCCCAGTTTATTAACATGTGTATTTCTCTGATTCCAGCTTCTTGGCTTAAGCATCTGATTTGAGGACTGCTGTAGTGACCAGGCTTTGTGGTCCACCCACTCCTGACCTTGATCAGGCTTGAAAAGCCCTTGTTCTTTCTAATCAGAGGCATGTGAGCTGTTCTTTCACTTCACGACTTCCTTCCAACATTTTTTTGGACTAGGCCCTGCAGAACAAATCAATCTTGAAAGATGGCTTATCTGAACCCTTGGAACCTACCATTTGCTTGGTCATCCTTGGATCTCCTATCTTTCCTGACTATTATTCTGATAACTGTTTTCTTTCTTTTTTTGCCCTACTAATATTCTTTGATGGATTCTGAAATTTCCTTCTCTAAGCTCCCCTCCCTTATTCTATTATGAGGATAGCTTTTCTATGGCATGTTTTTTGTTTTGAGGAGCTGGGTCTCATGCATGCTAGACAATCCCTATTCCTAGCGCTGGGAGGTAAAACCTTCTGAGGTAAATATTCAGTGATACATGTCATATATGGGGAGAATATGTAGCATGAATTTTTCTAAGATTATTGATTCCACACATTCTGTATAAACATTACCTAATTCATATGAATTGAGAAGCATCCCAATTTGTGATTTAGGAAAGAGGAGTATTGTAACCACACTTTTTGTTGTTGTTGTTCTGTGAAGTAGTAGCACGCCAAAATCATCCTGTATCAAATTTCTCAACAGCAGAATTTTTTTTTTTTACCTAGTCCAAAGTTTGGTATGAAATGTCCCAAATAAATTCCAGATTTAACAATTAGTTGCATTTGTCTGTAGGGCTAAGGACTTTTAATATTAGTATGTGGTTTTGCTCTTCCCTCACCCAGGGCTGCTGTCAAACTTTGTCATATAAGTGACGGATTGAGAAATATTAGCATAAAGCCAAAGTAGAGCTGGGGGATGAATTGCTTTTTATGGCACAGAAACCAGGGGAGCTTGATGTTAAGCAAAGATTTACCAGTTGAGAGGAAAACAGCCTCTGGACAAAACTAAACATTGGAGCATCAATCTACTAGGCAGTGTGCCTCGAGCTCTCCTTTATGTTTAATCTTCGTGATAATTCCATGAGATTGTAAGCCATGGACTTTGCATTTTAGAGATGAGAAAGAGTTCACATGGAATGATCGGTCTAATGTCACAATAAGTGAAAAAGATAAGAGTCATTCTTTAGCTCTCCACACTTCAAATTATGGGTTCTTTGTACAGAAAGAAGCTGCTTTAGCAAGCTGAGATCTGGGATGTTGTCTCAGTAACAGTCACCTTGGTATCAGTTAGATTCAGTCTAGTTAAGCACTCTTTGTTTGACTTGGTTGTTCCTACCATCTGTTTAAAACTATTAACTTCTTAATATCTGATGCAGAATAGAAGCATCTGAGTACGTTTCCTTTTTTTGATGCATATGAACTGTTCTTGTGAACCAATCCAGAAACTGTGGGAAATTTAGAAAGTTCCACTGGTCAAGTTCAATCTTCCTTTGTTTCAGAACTTCTGTCATCCTGAGGTACCCTGTGCCTCTTTGCCATGTGTGCTGTCCTTATTTCCAAAATGAAGAAATGGGGATTCTAGATTCAGTTTAGAATGTGTTGATATTTCCCTGGGAAATCTTGGGTTCTCTGTCACTCCATTTGGCTCTCAGTGTCTCAGACTGGGTTTAAACTGTAATTAAATGATAAGAAATGACCCTGGGGTAGAACAGACTGGAGGAATTATGTTTTCTTCTCTGGTGAGTGAGGTCCTTTTCCATATTTCTGAAGGATTGGGAGCAAGTCCGAGAAATTATAATTGCGTTCAGATTCAATTTCAGAGGCAGAGTCACAACCCAGAAGAACTTGTGGGGATGTGGTTTGCTCTACACAGCTGTAGTATTCTTGTTTCCTTCTTTAGTTTATGGCACAAGGAAGCTCATCACAAGAGCTACTGTGTGGATTAAACCCATAGTTGTGTTGCTGCTACCGTGGAAGTTGGTCATGAGATGACTTGAGTTGACTTATGAGTATGGAGCTTTTGGTCCAAAGTATTGTGTGTCAATGGACATGATTGCCACACCTGCCAATTTCCCATCCCTGTGGTGATCAGACCCTGAGAACACTGTCTAGATGGGAAGGAAAAACTGAAAAGTGGTTTGGAGAGTCCTGACTTCTTCATGGACCCTGCTTGTTGTCACCTCTGTGTGTACTCCAGACCTCTTCATCTGCATGCCCAGTATTCTTGGGGTAAATGTTAATAGCATGCTCCTGGGTGCTACTCTTTCTCTTCCATCTACAGAAAGTGAGGATTTATTTACAGTGAGAATTCACTGTCACAGACTTAGTGACTTTACTAAAGTCCCATTAACACACATCTTTGGGCTGGGGATGTAGCTTGGTGGTAGAGTGCTTTCCTAGCTTATCCAAGACCCTGGTTCAATTCCCAGTACTTGAGGAAAAAAAGAAGAAGGTACTTCCTTTATCAAGGATTCAGATTTCATGAGCAGGATTGAGCTCACAAGATAGAGATGAACCCGTAAAGATTTTACTTGACTCTTGATAGACCGTTTTGCTTTCTTTCTGTTTTTCTCTCCACCCTAAAACTAGTCTTCTCATGTCTCTTGTCTTCCATCAGAGGGAGACAACTTTCCTATATTAACTAATGATTCTTACTCTAAAGAAGCCTTTAAAATCTAGCTTCTGAAAGTAGCTGTACATTCTGACATTTGTTGGTAACTTTATACCTTCTATTAAAAAGAAGAAAAGTCTCAGGTTGGACATTTGTAGGACTTGAGGAAGGTTTGCTCTGTGTTTTCATCAGTTGTATACATTAGTGGATGTATTAAAGTAGCTCTTTTTAAAATGCTGTTTTTATAGCATTAGAAATATTGAAAAAAAACATGCTTATAATCCCAGTAGCTTAGGAGACTGAGGCAGGAGGGTCGAAAGTTCAAAGCCAGCCTCAGGAAAAGTGAGGCACTAAACAACTCAGTGAGACCCTGTCTCTAAATAATATACAAAATAGGGCTATAGATGTGGCTCAGTGGTCGAGTGCCACTGAGTTCAATCCCTGGTACTCACCCCCCCCCAAAAAAAGAAGTATTGGAAAAAGGTGTCACTTATTGGAAAATTGCTTTCTCAATAACTAGAAACACTGTTTAGTACTTAAATTATATCCCTCTTGTGTTCGAACCTAGAATGAAGTCAGTCTGCAGGAAGTGCTGAGTAAAGACTTACTAGTCAAATACAAGACCAAATATAAACAGCAGTTGTTTGACTGTTATTTACTTTTTCTTCAAGAGTGATGAGAATATTAGACTTTCTATAGTTAAAATACAGATTAAGGTAGAGAAAGGGAAATTTTCATTATCTTGTCCATAAAACTCTTCCTTTAGTCATGTTGGGTTCTTCTAGTTTTTCAACAAATTATCCTTCCCTTAAGTGAGACATTATTGGCTCATATGTCTGCAGACTTTTTGCTGGCCAAGAGAATGACTGTATATAATAAACTCATAAATGGAAATGATTTTTTTTATAATCAGTTTTTGTAAAAGCATAACTGCATGAACATTTCTGCTCCCTTTCAAAAGTACTTAACTGCCAGCAGCATCAGTCATGATGTAATGTTTGGCACATGAAGAAGATTTTCTAGCAGGTAGAGTCACAAATAATGGAATGTTTATGCCTGTGGAAGGTGCCTTCTCTGTCATTGGAGGATCGCTAAGATTCTTTTGGAAACCACTAAGGTATAGAAGGACTTGTGGTTACAGAAACTGTCCTCCTTAACTGGAGTTTCAAGCTTACCACAAATGTGCCTTCTTATCAGAAGCCTTCTTGTGTCCTTCATATTGTGGAAGACACATGTCATTTAGTCCCTTGCCAGCATTCTTTTCCCAGATACTCATGAGGCTTGGGAAGTGTTCCCTCCCTTATTCTATTCCATGGGAAACCCTGTCTTCAAAATATTAGAATTTAATTTCCAGGGCCCATTCCACCAATAAGGGAAATTCACTAATGACTGCAATTGAGAATTTAACTACTTTGAATTTCTTGGTCTCTGTTATGGGACTAACATTAGCTATATGAGGAAAAGCTTAAGGCATCAGAGATTATTGGGATGCAGTGTGAATAACCATTGAACTTTGGTATTCAGGGTTTGGGTACAGTTCTTGTTGCATCATCCAAATGAATGGGATTCCAGGATCCTTCCCAGGCTTCAATAGAGTCCACTTGGCTCTAATTCAGTGCTCCCTTGGCTGATATGATTCAATACTTCTGACTATAATAGGATAATTGGGATGACTTTCTGCTGCTCTATCTTTAGTAGCACTCCCTCTCAGGCTTAGTTATTGCTAGCTTAGTTTCTTCCTTGAAAATTGCCTGTTGGTTTCAGGTTATTCTTCCTATTAAAAATAGACACTTAGAAAGTAGTCACCAATATAAGCAGTTTGATATGGAAAGAAATTTCGAAGAAGTAAAAAGATAGATTTTCTGATATGATGGCACAGTTTTTCTTACCATCTCAACAGCCTTGAATTAGAGGAACCAGTAATACGTGGCTCTCCCTGTATTTGTAGAAATCTTGAGGCAGGGCAGTTCTTAAACCGTTCTGCCCTTTAATCTGCTGCAGAACTCTCCCCCCATCCCACCAGGTTATGGGACTTTCCTTCTCCCCAGATACTGATTTTTGTGGAGCTCTCCTGTGGCTTTTGCACAAAGGCTGTAGTCCATTTCATCCTCCATTTTCCCTATCTTCTCCTTTCCAAATACCATATACAGGTATTGGAGGGAAATGGGTGTTTGGGTCACTTCCCAAGGGTAGAGCTGAGTCTTTTGGATTTATGCTATGGCCTGAAAAGAAGGAGGTACTATCCAGTATAAAACCAGTAAACAATTATCTTCAGGCAGTTTAGGATGCAGGTAAGTGTTACATGTCTCTCCATGATACTTGTATGGTGGAGATAACCTTTGAAATGGTCCATTTTCTAAATGTCTTCTCTAAAAGTGTTTTGTAAATATACCAATACAAAGGCAAGAAATGTGGCAAGGAGAGCAGATCAGACCTTTGGACCTATAGCAAGGTACAAGATTGGCATGTTTTTACTCCTCGTGTAGCAGTTCAGTGCTTCCTAAAGCTAAGTGCTCAATAAATGTTCATTGCTTCTATTGTCATTATTAGTATTATTATTTAGACTTTTATGTGAGAGGTTATCAGTTCAAATGAAATATACTCTAAATAAAAATAGAGACTTGCTTTAAATCTGTAAACTTAATGTCTTTAGTTAAAATGAGGAGTTGATTCTTTCTGTATCTTAATCTTAGTATAGCAGTGTGATATTCATAAGTGCTTTCAGTCTAAGAGATCAGTAAATAGAACTTTTTCTTTATAACTTGTTATGGTATCATGACATTTTTTGCCTACCTGGGGCCTATTCCAGATACTAAGCTGTTAGAAATTAGAATAGGATTACTGATAGATCATTCCTTCTATATTGTAGCTTTAAGTTCTGATTATGTAAACTTGTGTATAATTTTTTTTCATTTTATTTTAAAATATCCTGTGAGTAGCTTCCCTACTTGAGTTGTAAGACTAATGTGGACATTTTTCATGATGCTTAGCATGGGTTTTCCTTTTCTTAATTACATTGCATGTTCCTTCTTTTCCTGGGTGAGAGTACTTTCCAAATATTTATACAAGCCATGCTTATTTTCTTGCAGTTGAGTTGGCAATGATCATGGACCGTTTGTATGGTGGTGTCTGTTATGCTGGCATTGATACGGACCCAGAGCTGAAGTACCCCAAAGGTGCTGGCCGTGTGGCGTTCTCCAATCAGCAGAGTTACATCGCAGCCATCAGTGCACGTTTTGTGCAGCTTCAACACAATGACATTGACAAACGGGTAAGCAACCACTAAGGGTGGAGTTGCTATGGGAAAGAAATGAAGATTGTTCTGTGAGTCTCTGGGAAGAAAAGCACCTGGTGATCATAAGTAGCAGCTCTACCTTGCATGGCATTGCTCTGTGAGTCCATCTAGGCTGCCTAAGAAAGAAAGCCCTCTTTCAGTTTGAGGTGTTAATGGACCTTCAACTTCACCTATCCCTAGGGTGATGCTACACTTAGTCTGCAGAATTTAGCCCACAAGACTGGTGCTGTTCAAAGATGTGCTAACAGTGGGTTAACAAAGGCTAAGAACTGATGATATGTATGATCTTTATAATGATCTTAAACAGGCTTGGATTGACATTTGTATGTTAAGGAATATACATAAAATTCTGAACTTCTATTTTTTTTTAAATTACATCTCACATAGTTTCAATTTTTTAAACCTAATAGCTGCTGTCTCCCTTCAGTCTCTTCTTTAACTCCCTATAGTTTCATTGCTTATGAAATATATGTACATGTATTATCTGCCATTTTGCTCACTGATGTTACCTGCCCGGTCTCTGGAGATATTGAGTATGTTCCTGTGATCTGAAGAGGAGAAGTGATAGAGTTGGGATGTTCCTTTGGTTTGGCAGACAGATACGGTGTTTAAATCCCTTAAATTCAACCTCTATCCCTATTTGGAAACTTGGGGGAATGGAAGGTGGTAGGAGCTAATTTGGGACCTATCTTACTAGATGTAAAGAGTAAATAGCAGACTAAGGATCTTCTTGAGGCATGCACTGGACTAGAATTAGCAAAGTAGTACATATGTCCTAGTATGAAGTTTCACCTATACTCTGTACAGTCATCTATGGCTCATTTTGTATAACCAACAAATTTATTAGGAGGTGAAAATTTAGTTGGTGGTGGATTTTTCCTATTCAGCAAGATTATGATTTTGTGTGTGTGTGTGTGTGTGTGTGTGTGTGTGTGTGTGTGTGTGTTTTTCTAGGGATCAAATCCAGGGCTTTGTGCATGCAAGGCAAGCACTCTACCAACTGAACTATATTCCCAATCATTTATATATAGGGGGGGGGGCTTTATTTTATTTATTTATTTATATGTGGTGCTGAGAATCAAACCCAGTGCCTCACACATGCCAGGCAAGCACTGAGCCACTACCCCATCCCTCAAGATTATGTTTTTGTTTAGACATGCATCTGATGGAATTACAAAGGGCTATGCTTAGAATAACATTCTATGGGCTCCTTAAGAGTAAGGGGTAGTGGGACTGGGGTTGTGGCTCAATGGTAGAGTGCTTGCCTAGCACATGTGAAGCACTGTGTTTGATCCTCAGCACCACATAAAAATAAATTTAAAGAAAGGTATTGTGTTCATCTACAATTAAAAAGAAAAAAAGTAAGTGGTAGTAAGTAAAGCCCAGTGGTGCACACCTATAATTCCAGTGTACTTCAGAGGCTGAGGCAGGAGGATCTCAAGTTCAAAGCCAGCCTCAGTAACTTAGCCAGACTCTGTCTCAAAATGGTATTTTTTAGAAAAATTAAAATAAAGGAGTAAGTTGTAGTGATTTGTTTTCTAACTAAAGTGAATCAATTATTTTCAGAATTTTCAAATGCTTTTTGAATTAATGGAGAGTCAGATAGGTAATAATGATTCAACTCCATTCCTGGTTTTCAAGTATCCAAAGCAACCCAAACTTCCTCTTTTATAATAGCAATCCCCCTGCTAGACTGTAAGCTCCACAGGAATGGGCATAGTATCTGTCTTATTCTTTCCCTGACCCCCAGTGCTTACTCATTGCTTGATTTGGTCTGAGATGCCCGATAAACTTTTCTTAAATTAACATGTGGTGCTGCTTGGAGGGTTTCCTAACTTCTGTTGCTGATGGACTTGTTCATGCCTGTATATTTGGCAATCTGATATGGCAGATTCTTTACATTGACATTACTATTGCACCTATCACTAAAACCCAAACAAAAAAAAACTTAACCAGAAGAGCCTTGAGTTATATGAAAGAAGCTTTCTTGGTTCCCCTCTGAAGCTAAAGTCAGTGACTGTATAGGAGGTAGATTCTGGGAATGACAAAAGAGAACCTAGGGGAGGGCTCCATTTCCCTGAGAGTCATCTGAATGGGAGACCTGATGAAAGTGGCAGAGTTCCCTATATTCCCCTTCCTTGCCTCAGGGCCTGGAGGCATGAGCTTTGCTTTCTTGTGCTTTGTCTGTCTTGATCAGTATAGAGAACATTCTCTTTATTATCAGATGTGGAAGCCAGCTTCCATCTTGAGTTGGACCCATTTTTCATTATCCATTTATAAACATTATACTCTCTTCCACTAAACTATTATTGTGTTTTTAATGAATACACTGTTGTGTTTTTAATGAATACACTCAACACAATATTTTGTTATCCTTGGCATTTTGAGCCTCTTTTAACTTCATATGTGCACTTTAGGTTCATTAATAGTTTTATTTTTATTCATCTTTCTGCCAAAGCTTTAATTTGAACTTTCCAGAGAGTTTCTGTCATATATACCAAGCACATTAGTACTTCCTTCAGTAATGCCATTTTTCTTTCTCAGAAAAAATAATTGTCTGCTCATGATGGTCAACAGAGAATTTTTGTCATTAAGCATATCTTTATTTCTGAATAACCCCTTCCAGATTTTTAGCAACAGTCATAGTGAAGATTCTGAAATATTCTATGTGTCAAGGGCCAGTGTCCACCTATACCAACACACTCTTTTATTTGCTATTGAAAATTCCTGTTATTCTCTCCTTCCTTCACCTGTGACCCTGGAGTTGCCTTTAAGCCAAGACCATGGCTATTTTAAATAGCGTAAACATTTATAACCTTTCTACTCAAAGAAGCTCTCTTTGATGTCTGCAACATTATAAATGGAGATTCAGTGGAATCTGAATTTTTTTTTTTTTTACTATCCCTGGCATTTTAAGGGTTTTGTTTGCAGTTCTATCCCTTTTACTCTTTCCCAGAGAAGAGTAGGTGAGACTACCTCTGTGCTGCAATGCCTAACCATCAGGCCAGACAATTCATTTAAGTGTCTGGAACCATAGAAGTCATAGGCTATCTGAGTTGTGTGCTCTTAGGTTGCACCTTTCCTGTATAAACAATGGAAGGTACATGCAAAAGAAATTGACTGGTATATTTTCTCTACTTCTTTTGTGTCTAACCAACTTTTTTTCAAAAGAGACATCTTTTTTTGAGAATTTATTTATTTATTATTATTGCCACACTCTTAGATGGAGTAGTTTATAGGGAAAATGCAACCTATATAGACTTGATTTCTTTGTACAATCTTAGAGACTTTTGTGTGAATACAAAATAATATGTTTTTTTAAATTCTTTTTTAAAAATTATTTATTCTAATTTGTTTTCATGACAGCAGAATGTATTTCAATTCATAGTACACATGTAGAGCACAATTTTTCATGTCTTTGGTTGTACACAGAGTAGAATCTCAACATTCGTGTCTTTATACATGTACTTAGGATAATGATGTCCATCTCATTCTACCATGTTTCCTACCTTCATGCCTCCTCCCTTTTGTCCTATCCAAAGTTCCTCCATTCCTCCCATGCCCTCACCCCCACATCCCCACTATAGATTAGCATCCATATATTAGAGAAAACATTTGGCCTTTGGTTTTGGGGGATTGGCTACTTCAATTAGCATGATATTCTCCAACTTCATCCAATTACCTGCAGATGCCATGATTTTATTCTCTTTTAAATGCTGAATAATATTCCATTGTGTATATATACCACATTTTCTTTATCCATTCATATGTTGAAGGGCACCTAGGTTGGTTCTATAGTTCAGCTATTGTAAGTTGAGCTGCTATAAACATTGATGTGGCTGTGTCCCTGTAGTATGCAGTTTTTAAGTTCTTTGGGTACTGAGGAATGGGATAGCTGGGTCAAATGGTGGTTCCATTCCAAGTTTTCCAAGGAATCTCCATACTGCTTTCCAGATTGTTTACACCAATTTGCAGTCCCACCAGCAATGTATGAGTGCCTCTTTCTCCACATCTTTGCCAACACTTATTGTTGTTTATATTCTTTTTTTAAAAATATGTATTTATTTATTTTTTAGTTTTTGGCGGACACAACATCTTTGTATGTATGTGGTGCTGAGGATCGAACCCAGGCCGCATGCGTGCCAGGCGAGTGCGCTACCGCTTGAGCCACATCCCCAGCCCTATATTCTTTTTTTTTTTTTTTAAATTATTTTTTAGTTGTAGTTTGACACAATACCTTTGTTTCACTTATTTATTTTTATGTGATGCTGAGGATCAAACCCAGGGTCTCGCATGTGCGAGGCGAGCGCTCTACCGCTGAGCCACAACCCAGCCCCTGTTTATATTCTTAATAGCTGCCATTCTTACTGGAGTGAGATGAAATTTTAGAGTAGTTTTGATTTGCATTTCTCTGATTGCTAAAGATGTTGAACATTTTTCATATATTTGTTGATCAGTTGTATATCTTCTTCTGAGAAGTGTCTGTTCAGTTCCTTGGCCCATTTGTTGATTGGGTTATTTGGTTTTTTTGGTGTTAAGTTTTTTGAGTTCTTGATATATCCTAGAGATTAGTGCTATATCTGATGTGCATGTAGTAAAAATCCGCTCCTATTCTGTAGGCTTTCTTTACCTCATTGATTGTTTCTTTTGCTGAGAAGAAACTTTTCAGTTTGAATCCATCCCATTTATTGATCCTTGATTTTATTTCTTATGCTATAGGAATCATGTTAAATCAGTCAGGGCCTAATCTGAAATGATGAGTCTCCTTTTTCTTCTACTAGGCTCAGGATCTCTGGTTTAATTCCTAGGTCCTCAATCCACTTTGAGTTGAGTTTTGTGCATGGTGAGAAATAGGGACTTAATTTCATTTTGTTGCATATGAATTTCCAGTTTTCCCAGCATCATTTGTTGAAGAGGCCATCTTTTCTCCAATATATGTTTTTGGCACCTTTGTCTACTATGCACAAACCCACTTC